ACATTCCACAACCTCCCAATACGAGTTGGTGAGACCAAGGTTACAGGTGCTTACCCAATCGATATGTCATACAGTTTAACTGTAACGCATTTCCGCAAATTCGAATTTCGTCGCCAGTGGGATTCAAACTCTTGTCCTGCCGCTTGGGGTGCGACAACTTACCAACTACACTAAGTCGCCACACCCCTCTTGTATATGAATTTCTTAAGTTTCATATTTAGAATATCATAATATATCAGCAACAGTTAAAGGATCTATTCAATCGTTATGATATAAAAATTCATCCAAATATGAATATTCATTTGCAAGAATCCCGAATTTAGCTTAGTGGATTGGATGGTGGAATTCAAAAAATTTTTTGAAGAGATTTGCAAAACATTTGCCAAAATGCCAAACATTTAGCATCAAATAAGGTATTAAAAAATCATATTGAAACTTCTAAGAAAGAAAAGATGCATGAAATCCTTAATAATTTTCTTCTATAGAAATATAAAAAATAAATATACTATATTAATAATATAGTATATCTTAATGGAGTTGGACTTTTTATATTACAAAAAAGTATTAAAAACATATATTTAGCAATCAAAATAAAAAGTCCAATTCTACTAATTTACAGAAATAGATTGGTAATATGAAATTGTTTAGTGAAATAAATAATTAGTTATATAGTGACAGGAAATTTCAATCATATATAATCATTATAGGATGATTTTTCAGGAACTGAGTCCAATAAAATGAAAGTTAGTAAATCAATATTACAGGTTTTATACTTCTATTATTCACATGCAACAAGGAATACTTATATTCACATAACTGTTTTTACAACAGGTCTTACTATATTTATTATTACACAAGTTTAATATTTATTATTTTGATGATTCAAAGTCTTAATAGCTAACCTGAGAAATAAAAGCTATAGTTTTTTCTGAAAGTTAAATAGATTAGTATAAAGCTAAGTATAATATTTGAACAATATATTATCTTATTACTGATAAATAACATGTTAAAAATTTCTTATATTAGTCACATTAGATCTTTCTGATTTGTAAATCCTAAAAGATAAATATATGGATATAAGGGAGTTGTATTAAATATTATACTCATTGTGGTAAAAAATTTTTTAAATTGGCTTACCTGCTATACCAAAAACAAAAAAGGGAAGAAACCCAAAAGGCATTTTACATGATAAAAAAATGCTTAAATAAAATTTCGATATTGTCACTTTGTAAAGACATATCTTATAAATTGATAATTTTTAAAACTTTTATAAAATATTAAATACTAAAAGAGAAATTGAGAGCGCAGTGAAATATATTTTTCATAAACATTAATTAGAGTATGCAGATCTTAAAATTTATTATAAAAAATCTTGATTAGTGATCTTTATTATACCGCTTGCATTATATTTATAATTATACATATGATTGACACCCCAGTAAGACATGTTATAAAGAACTTGTCATAATAAGTATATATTAATAAAAACCAGAAGCAAAACCTCACCTTAATATTAAGAAAAAAAAAATGTAAGAACTAAAAAAAGTATCAAAAATAAAAAACAACTCAATTTTGCTTATTCTAATACTACTATTATAAATTTGTGAAAGATTTAAAAAAATTATATACTACTAAACAAACTAGTTTCGATTCTATATTTATCTATTTAACAGTTAGAAAAAATATTACATCTGTTGATATATTAATATATAATAAAATTAGTGAATTGTTATTTGCACCATGATTTTTGCTATTTACACTATTAATTTGGCTGGAATTAAACCTAATTCTGGTCAAACTAATAGTGCAAATAGCAAAAACTATGATGCAAATACAGTCAGGGATTTTACCAAAAATGAAAATCGATTCTGGAATGTTCTCTTGAATAATAATTGGCTTACAATCACACTTTTAGGTTAAAGTTTTTTTGCTCTTTCATAATTCTTAATCGCAACTGATACTTTATACACAAAGAATAAAAAACCTATAGTTTCAGAATCAATAAATAATCAGTTGGGATCAACTCTTTATAGCAAAATAGATAAGACCTAAAAAAACTTTAAAGTTTCGTCAAGGTTTGTTGATATTCTATACTTATTTCTCTTTTTTTCTTGAATAATCATTAAATATTCTCACAACGTTGTAAAACTTTTCATACTTTGCATATGTAAGTATCATGTACTATAGTTTTGCAAACTTTCTATATACATTAAAATTAGCTTAATCAACTTTGAATATAAAGTCACGATTAAGCTAATTAAGTTTTAGTTTTTTTTTTGCTTTTAATTTAATTTATTTATTTTTAACATTTTAAGTTTTTTTTTTATTTTTCTAGATATAAAGTTGTAACAATGAGATTTAGATGCATTTAACGATTATATTATAGATATAATTTTATTTAATTTAATCGAATATTATTGAAAAGTATAGATAAAGTAATAGGGTTGTGACATCATTGATATCTTATGTTTGATTAATCAGAATCGAACAATTCTTATACTATTTGATTCGTCTCATCAAGACGAATCGAATGGTATAAAAATTATCTAATTCTAATTACTTGTTGACAAAATATCTTCGTATTTGATATTTGTAAAAAATACCTGTGATAGGATTTCTATAATAAATAAACCTATTAAATTTATTAAGTAAAGTTGTTTGTGATGCAAATTATATATAATCCTAGATTTTGGTGAAAATTTTACAACTTTTTTATTAATAAATTTTGAGCTATATGTTACTATGTTTTTTTATTTTAAAAACCATTATTTGATTGGCTAATAACATGTGATTTTTGTGAAACTGAAATGTTGAGAATCATCTAATCAACATTTCTATACTATAAAAGGTGCAATCAATACTGTCTATTTTTGGTAAAATCCTTGACTGAAATAGCAATACCTTAAAATTATAATAAAAACATATAAATTTATTATAAACTTTAAGCTCAAGATCCTTTTCAACTTACAAATTAACTTATTGAAGTTAAACATATTAAGAATAGTAGAATAAAATTACTTAAAATAGCTTTTTAAAATTCTATAAAAATTGAAGATTTTACTAATAAAGTTTTATAAAAAAAAGAATTTTATTAATTTTGAAAATATTATATGTAAAATTTTATGCTAAACAAGTTGGCTTTAAAGACAAAAATAGGTTGTCTTAGTAAAAAAAAAGTTTGTTATAGATAAACTTCAAAATTTTGTTTTTCTATATAAAACCTAAGATAATCTATTTTTGTTTTCTAAGTGAATTTGTTTAGCACAAAATTTTACATACTTTATATATCTCGCCAAATTTCATTTTTTGAACTTTTATATAAAAGTTAGATTATTAGCAATATCTCGAGTTCTATCAATTATAATTGGATGGTTTTTATACCATTCGATTCGTCTCGTCGAATAATATTAACATTATTTGATTCTGATTAGTATTTGGCGAGGTATTTTCGTATTTGCCATTTGCAAAAAAAAATAGCTATAACGAAATTTTGTACTAAGTAAATCAATCTAGTACGTTAAATAAAGTTGTTCGTTGCATTAATTTCGATATTTTAAAATTTAGGAAATTTTGAATTTTTTATTAATAAATTTTTCGTTATACGTTATTACGAATAATCAATTTTTTATTTATCAAGGCCGTAATCTGATTGGCCAATTACAACCGAAATGCCTAGAAATATCTGTCAGCTGTAGTAGTCATATCAAATTTCATAGTGCAAATCTTTTAATGACGGAATTGCACTATCCGAATTCCATGACGAATGTGGTGGTTGTGCTGTATAATGCTGTATACTTTTAGATTCTTCGCGCGGTGGCAATTGTGGCTGTTGCTGCTGTGGAACATCAGGTTGTTGTTGTGTTTGAGAGGACTGTTTAACAATCTTACGAATCAATTCCAAAGATTGTTCAACACTGAATTCTGAATATCTTGCTTCATAATATTCTTCTGTTTGGTCTCGCATTCTCTCGTACTCCGGATCTGGAGGGAGAACAAGATCACATTGAACTTCATTAATTAAAGCTTCATAATGTGTCAATGACGATCTTTTTGCTCTCTCAAATTGTTCAATTTTATCTCCATTTGTTCTTGAGGTTGGTGAATCATTTATAGAAGTCTTAATGGATTTCCTAGGAATAAATTCTGTGACCGATGAGGATGCATAATCATAAGTTTTACAAAATTTATCTATATTAAGAAAAAAGATATACAATGAACTACCTTTTCTGCTTTTTCTGGCCTCCTCTTCGGCTCTACGTGAATCTTCCAAATTTTTTAATCGATTTCGCTCGTTAACACGAGCCCATGTATCTTGTTTTTGGGAACGAGAAGTTTCTGAAATCATCCTATCTATCTCAGCAAGGCGTGTGGCATAATTTTGTGCATCTGTTATATTCCCCTGAGCTACAGCCAAGTTCTTTTGTGTCACCAAGTTAGTTTTCTCTGTTAATAAATTTAGAGGTTCAACCCCTCCACGAAGGGTTTGTTTTTGCTTGATCATTATGTCAACATCTTGCTAATATTCAGTATTCAGACAAAATATTAATGCTTATATTCATATAAAGTACATATAATTTATCGTAGGCTTTACCTCTGATAAAATATATTCATCAGCAGCTTTAATCTGTTCTTTCTTTTTTATTATTGCTTCTTTTGTCGGCAAGTCAAGTTTTTTAATTTTCATGGTAACTGTCCAACGGTCAAACTCAGACTAATAAAGGCGAAACTGAAGTATGAATATAAAATATTTGTAGTGTTAAACAACCTTTATAAAATACTAACCTGTTCAAATTTCCCGTTCGAAATAATGTTCATTTGCCAACTTTTTACAGCATCAGCATGTTTAAGACGTAATACTTTATTAGTCTTCACCTTATCGTTCGCATCTATTAAATATGGTTGTACCCTTTCTGGTACTTCAACACCTACGAGTGCGAATTGTAAATACATTTGATTAATAAAAATACAACAATAAAGCAACAACTAAAATAAAATAAGAGATAATAAACATACCTACAATCTCGCAAACACGATAGATTTGTTTACCATTTTGTAATCCAATATGCAAACGAACGAAACAACCAGTTACAATTTTCTCGAAGAAGGGCTTATAAACCCAATCACTGAATTGATGTCTGGTTAATTGTATATCTCTAATATCATCAACTGTGATACCCTAAAAATGAATGTTAAAAAAAATAAATAAATAAAAATAAATGAATAAATAAACAACAATAAAGTATGGCAAATTTATATGTTACTCACATCGGAATCATCATCCTTATTTTGTTCCCCTCTTTCATCATCTTCATAAAACACATCATCTTCGTCACCAGTTGTAATATGTTCCCCGGGTTCTGGACTCAGTGATCCCTTTGCATGGAATCAAAAGATCAGAGATCTTTTGTTTTACAGTGAAGATCAGCGACAGGACATTAGGGTTGACACTCACAGCTTTTGTTCTCTGACTTTGATTTTTTTGTGCTCGTCGACGTTTAAGTTCTTCGATACCTTTCTTTTTTGTGTCTTTTGTTCTAGAAGATCCTTAAATATTTTTGAAAAATAATATTGATATTGTATGAATAATTTGGTAAATTTTATTCTACTTTGATGATGATAAGTTAAAAAATTCACACTTCTTGTTGAAGAAACATCTTCAAGATTTATCATTAATTGTACAGCTTCCAAATCTTTATGATGTTGTATCTGAAGCCAAAACGACAAAAGTTAATCTAAAATTCTGAATATTCTAATTACGAATAGACCACTGATGCCTACTTTTTCAGCTCTTTCAGCCAGTATTCTTTCACGATCGAGTTCAACAAGGTTCTCTAATCTTCATAAATATATTCGATAAGTTTACAAAATCTTTTTTTTAATGAACCAATGGACGCATGTATGTACCTATCTCGATCATCCTCATCATGGTATAACTCGGAATCAAACTCATCGGTATCTCTTCGTCTTTCGTTGCCCTCACCGTCTTCTTCCGAGTATCCTCCACGACGGGGAGGTGTGGTGGACCTTCTTCAAAATATACAAAGAAAAAGTAAAAAAAGAAACGTTGAAGTAAGTATTTTGAAAAAAACTAACTAGTTGACTATAATAAAATTAACCGTAGAAACTATTTCTTATTCAAAACTCAACAATCTTTCTTAAATTTGCTTAATCTCACCCAAAATTCCGTTGGTGTGGCATGTTTACTAGTGGAAAGAAGAAAACGTTTTGAAAGTTTGATTTCTAAGTGGCGTTTTCTTGAACAGTATTTATAAGTTTACGCAATAACATATATAGCCGAATTTTTGATACACCATATGACTAACATACCCATATGTTTAATATTACATATTACTTATGTGTATATATATATATATATATATATATATATATATATAGGACTATGTATATAATATAACGGTAACCCAGTAGACTATATTATTGTACTAATGGTTGCTTACTTTCGTTTTTGGTTGGAAGTTCTAGTTGGTCGTTTTTCTTCATGGGCGTATGTATTACTAGCAGACGGTTCAGGTTGTAAGCTGCTTAACCTTTCGTTCTCTTCGTCTCCAATGAGTTCAAGAATATCATCTAGCACTTCGTCGTCTTCACCCATTTTTTTTGATTTTTTTTTTACTTTTTATTTTTATTTTATTTTTTTTTTTTGTGATCGTTAGATAGATAATTTACTAATATTTAAGTGAGTTAAGCTCGGAATTTACGTGAGTAGAGTTTGATAAATTTTTCTGAGTTTCAAGATTATGTCGATATTTTTATACGTATGTGATTTTGGTACGTAACTATTAAAGTTTTCCTTAATCAATGAAAATCTTGCCTTTTCGGCTTGTAATACACACATATGGCAGTTAACAAATAATTGCTTACATTGGTATTAATTGGTATTAATTGACTAAGGATGCTGGATCCCATTAGAACCCTTTAAATTAACTGAGGGAACCAAAACTCTACATACGTACATGGTAAAATGTCGGTCAAAGAAAACATGCAATTTTTTTAGAATACTGTATATAAACTAATGCAATATTATATCCTAGCGTAAGAAATTAATCTAATTTGACATTTTTGTAGATCATTCTAACAAATTTGTCCGCAGCGAAATAACCAACAGCGCCTTAAAATATATATTGTTGAGTATAAAAATAGATTGTCAACACAGACATAAAATTAATCTACCTACCTAATATTATAAACAAACCGGCACAAATTATTGCGGTATTCCCAAAGTAAAAGGTAGTCTGGAAAAGACCATACATTCTAATTTTTTTAAAAAAAGAAAAAAATTTAGATATATTTTTTTTTTATAATTTATACACATTTAAAATTTCTTACTTTGTTCGATTAATGAAGTAATATAAAGCGTAAAGATATACATAGACAGCAGTTGAACCACAGGTCAAAAAACTCATCCAATGCCTATTTTAGGGCAAGGATATGTTAATGACTAATAACGTTTTCTCATAATTATTATTGGAATGTGAACACGAACCATCGATGATCTTCGTTGTTAAGCAATATATACGTACTGACTATAGTTACACAGGCGGTAATTATCAAGAGAATAATGAAAACAAATAACATGAAACCGTATACATAATAAATTTTATATGCCCAAAATGATGAGAAAATAAAATAAATCTCTATGAAAATTGACGCGAATGGGAGAACACCACCAAGAGCGACTATCACAAGGGGTTCGGCGTACCTAAAGTTTATACAGATTAAAATAACGAAATAAATGTAGGTAATGATACATCAGCAGCACTTACCAAATTTTCTCAGGAATAGGTCGTGGAATAGGATTAACACGGCAGGGAAAATTTGGCTGACTTGCCCAATTACGACAAAGGATTGCCCCCAGGAATGTCAACGGAAATGCAAGAAATAACCAGGTTGCAAAAATCGCTAGCTGTGAAAAATTGATTTGAATCACACATATATATAATAAAAATTAAATCAGTAATAACGCTTAAAAATAAACATACCATAGCTGTGAACGGAATTGCCCGCGAACTAGAGTAATATACGGCAACAAAATTGATCATAGCCGTCATAATACTGAGTATTCCAGGCCATAAAGTAGCAGTTACAAGAATATTCTTTATCCAATTACGACCTTTAATAAAAATACGAGTAGCACGTTGACACCATTGTAAAAGAAACACATTTAAAGAAAATATCCAGATCAATACCTCCATAAATCTGATATGTGTTCGCACTGGAATATCCCGCAACGACGGACGTCAAGTTATAAAAAAATATTGATGCCGTCAGTATAGTAGCACGTCTAATACAAAGAAATAATAAATTTAATGGTTATAAAAATTGATAGCTGTAAAAATTGGTTTAATTGCCCGATTTTGGATCACAATCCAAATTTGAAATTAGAGTAAATATTCACTCTGCATATAAATCTCCAATTATTATATACAGAATAATAACCAAAGTTAGCCACATCAACTGGTGACCAGTACCGACTAGAGCTGAAAACAATAATAATGAACGTGGTGCACGAAAAACGTCGCCATGAACTTGCTTCCAACCATATTCATCGCCAAGGTCATGATCCTTAAATAAACCAATAAAATAAACAGTCATACATAAATGTAATAATAGATCCACGAAGCCAAAAAAACACTGATTGTACCAAATCACCAAGTGCCTCCTCTTTGTCATATCTAGCGTAATCCTTTTTCAACATACGCAACAATATGACACTAACAAAACCAGCCAAAAGCAGGACCATGAGAAACGAATTAAAAATAGAAAACCAATGAATCTATAATAAAATACATATCGTGTTAACCCCAAAGTTTTCTCACACTACTAACAATGAAATAAATTACCTTGTGCTCAAAAAATTCTGTATCTAATAGTTTATCGAATCTCGAATCAAATGAGTCTTCAGTAGGTTCCCATCTTACTGAATATGAAAATCGTACCGGTATGTCTCGAGTCTCCCAATATAACTTGACCGGATTACCACTTTCAAGTCTTACTTGGATTATCTAAAAGAGAATCCATCTTAATAACATGTTCTACGAATATCAATACATATGCAGATATTGCAGTACCTTATCATTATTATAGCTTATTACAAAATCTCTATGCGTATACAAGAAAGTATCACCAGTATTTGCGTCAAACTCTCCGACAAATCCTAATGATGAGTGTAATGCGTCTACTCAGAAATCTTATTATTTCTGTTTAAAAAAGGAGTGATAAATAAAAATTACCCCAAACTGGCAATTCATCTAAGTTCCGGAACCAAAATAAAAAGAATTGATTGATATTGAAACATTTTAATTTAGATACAACAGTTTCGTGACACAATATATTATTTACCTAAAAATAGCTGATACCAGTAATGATTGGAAACAGCATAACGGAAAAGATTGACATCCTTTGCCGTTAACCCTTTATCACAAATTGTGACATTTTCCTCTTTTACTAGAAAATAAAGAAAAGATTCAGAATATTTTTTCATGTAATGCAATTATAGATATGTTTATTTAAACACACTAAATGTGCCAAAAAAATTATTTCTACACAATTTTTTCTAATTTTTTTTTTCAATAAGTAAATTATTTCTAGAAATCTTAAAATACAATATTGACACGTATTATCTAACTTTCTAACTTGATATATGTAATTTAATAACTCCAGTAACATCCCTATCCTACGAACATTCAATTTACTATCATCAATTTTGCCCGTAAATATGTTTGCACATGATGCGCACCTCCATACTAATTATATCTATTAAATGGAAAAAAACTTACCCAAAAACTTCATGCCAATTCCAGAATTCACCAATTCCATGCCTAATATATCACATAAAATGGATAAAATTCGGTTCGGTTTTTTATTATGAAATTCTTAGGCTTCAATGAATAATGAATACTTGCCTAACAATGCTTCCCCTAACGTTTCATGATGATGTTCTATAAAGTGGTTGAAAACACATCAGTTATCATTAAAATTTGGCACCTTTTTTTTTTTTTTTTTTTTGCAGACATCCATGTTGAATCACAAGTCCACCTTTTTTATTAATAAATTAACAAATGCAGAAGTACCAGAAACATGATCTCCCTGACAGTACGGAAGCTGAAAGTATTCATAGGTTTCTTGCCGATTCGATTTAGGCCCAACTGTATTTACCCATATTATCACATCTTCATTTTCGTACTGTAGAAGATCTCAGTAAAATGTACAAACATGATAAATAATACATATAAGTAGTCAAACATATTTGTTGTATTGAATTACCGTATGTGAATGTTCATCGGCTAAGGCAGATATCACAAAAAAAAATACCAGTATAACTGCCCAGCCTTTTATTATTTTCATAGTAATTGATAAGTGAAAGAATGACATTTACGATATCGAAGCATTCACAATTTTTTAATTGAAATCACGTGTAAATTTAAAATTTTCGATTTACCAAGATTGGCCAATCAGAATGCATGATTTGGTGTAACCCAACAGAACGTGATCAGTAACGTAACTTCAACTTCCCCAGGATCGCCACCAAATTACTAATAAAATTTTTTCGATCACGTGAAATTATCCAATAATAAATTACGCCTTGGTGTAACGTAACACGATCATGAAGATCAAAACAAAACGTTCGTCTTCAAAAAATCTCTCTTTACTCAAA